TCATATTAACAACTACATCACTTAGTTAATGGAAATTCTTGTCCCCATTGTGGTCATAGGGACTACCTGAAATCTATTCCACAGGAACTTACTTTGGCATACCTTGCCAAAAATAACTGGAGGCATGCTTATTGTGTGAAGAGAATTGCATAGCAGAAATCTTTGTTTTTACTTTAGTATGATTTACGAAGTGAATTAAGATCCATAGCTGTGCTGCATTTCGCCTTTATCAAATCATCTATAACCTTCGCTTCACCCTCTGGTACCATCATGGAGATTCTCCATCATCCAAATCACCCTTATCCCAAAGATGCTTTCCCCAAAAAGCAACTGGACTTTCTTGTTTTTTTTCTTCTCTGGCAGGCCCAAATCCGATTCATGATTTGAAAATGTTTCGCTTCTTAATTAAGAGCCTTCTTCAGTTCTAATAGATTGATGGGGAATGGAAGGGTTTATATTCTTTGCAGTCTTCTGGTCATTAGTGCTCTTGAGGGCTGGTCGTTGAGACCACTTAGGGTTTATCTGTATGCTCAGAGTCCCCTGAATCAGAGTGCAAAGAGATATGGAACCTTCTTAGGACCGCTGAAAGGACGGTGTTGTAAACAGGAGGTCCATGATGTCATATTCCCCCCCCCTCTCTGTTGAGGGAGGGCTATTCAATTTTGATATAGAATTATTTATTGGCCAAGTGTGATCGGACACACAAGAACTCTGTCTCCGATGCATAAGCTCTAAGCTTACATACAAGCAACATGATCATAATCATAAAAATATATTAAGCATAAATCATAAGATACGGTAATATAGATGGCCTCTTCGACTCCTCTTTCAAACCAGTGCCCTTCTCTGTCCAGAATGTGAACTTGGCTGTCTTCAAAAGAGTGACATTTGCCTTTCAGATGCAGATGGACTGCTAAATCCTGTCTTGATGAGTTTGTTCTCATGTGCTGTGCCATGCTTTTGTCAGGTGGTTGTTTTGTTTCCCCAATGTACAGGTTACACGCCTCACTGCATTGAACCACATATATCACATTGCTCTGTGTGTGTCTAGATGTCTTGTCCTTGGGGTGAACAAGCTACTGACTTAATGTATTCTTGGGCTTACAGTGTACATGTATGTTGTATTGGCTGAAAATCCTCCTGAGTTTTTCCAATATTCTTGCAACTTATGGTATGATGTTGCCCCGTTTGTTGTTCTTTTCTTTATCTGTTACAAAGGAGGTACTGCTGTATCTTTTTCTGGATTTGATGAAGACCTAATTAGGGTAGTCATAGGTTCTGAAGGCTTCCTTGATGTGTTTCTGTTCTTTCTCTTTCCCTGTTCTGCTGATGATTTTCAACTAACACAACCTATGTGCACACTTTAAACCTAGGAATACATTAAGACAGAAGCTTGTCCAGCCAAAAGGCAAAACAGCCTGACACAAACAGAGCAATGTGATATATGCAGTGACTTATGTACAGACCTGTGCCTTGGGGAAACAAAACAACCACTTCACAAACCATGGCATAACATAGTAAAACAAACTCATTAGGACAGGATTCGGGAAAGTTCACATTTTGGACAGAGAGGACCCACTGGTTTGAAAAAGGAGTCAAAGGGGCCATCTATATCAAAATTGAACAGCCCTACCTCAACAGAGGAAAAGAGATGTGACATCATCTGTCTCCGGTTTACAATGCAGTTCTTTCAGCAGTTCCAAGAAGGTTCCACATCCATTTACACTCTTGTTTAGGTGACTCTGAGAATACAGATAAACTCTCAAATGGCCATAACTCTCAGAGAGCGAATGACCAACCCCCAGAATGGTAATGACTGCAAAGAATATAAATCCTTCCATTCCCTACCATAAGTTAGAACTGAAGAAGGTCCTTGGATGAGAAGTGAAATGTTTTCAAAAGAAAAGAAAAAAAAACCACAAGAAAGTCCAATTGCCATTTGGAAAAAGCCCCTTTGGGGGACCCTCTGGTATTATTTATATGCACTTCAGGCTGAAGATTTTTGACAGAATATATAATTGCAACTGCATACAAAAAGAATACATGGGACAGAGAATCTCTAGTTAATACTTTCATGAAAGAGACCTCTTTTTGGAGTACTAGAAAAATCTGGAGCCAGAGTATGAATATGTATGTGCTTGTATGCAAGCATTACATAAGTACCTATGTACAACAAAATTTCCCTTTTAAAAAAAGTTTTGTACCTGGAAAATAGAGGAAGGAAGCAATTTCCCCTTCAGCTTCCCTTCTATCACATTTTTAATGTAATAGCTGTCTATCTTTTTTAAAGCAGAGATAGAAAATCACCAGAGGTGTGTGGTTTGCAGAATCCAAAGATACAGGGATGTGGGGGTATATATGGAGATTCTGCTGCCATATTTAAGTGGCAATAGGTTACCTTTTTACCTGGTGGCACCAGTACTCTATACAGATAAGAGATTTGCAATTATACCACATTTTAATTTTAGGGGAAGAAATACATCAACCTCTTCTCCCCATTTTCTAATTTCTGAATTGCACTCTTTGGTGGAACTATCCAAAGCAGGTTTCTTCCTGCTTTCTGCAAGAGAAAAAGTATACAGAAGACACACTGTACTTCAGAGGCAAAAAGCCACCACCCCCCCCCCCCCCCCCCCCCCCCCCCCAAAAATGTCAAGGCACAGGTTTATGACAGCACTAAAAAAAGGGAGATTTCTGAATATTGTGGTGAACATTGTGTGGTTTTAAAAATTAATGGTGTCCTTTGAGAAAGATTGGAAGGGAAACCAGTCAATTGGTTTCCCTTCCAATTGAAGTTGAGTATGTGTAATTAATGTATGTTTAAATGTGTATTTAACTGGGGGGAAATAACAAATGATATAACAGTATTTTCAAGTGTATAATTAAGTTTAAAATAATTTGAAAGTGTTCTAATGATTGAAATAACCTGAATATAAAATGGTTAAACTAGAATAGAGATTGTAAAAATAACCCGACTATCCAGTGGCCAAATTGATGCATTTGGCAAGCTCATATACTTGGACTATGTAGATAGGCATAGGGCTTACTTATCAAAGGAACTACCTGTCTCTCATAGTATCTGTCCAGTCAATATGCTCTGGCAAGGTTGGCATGCTCCAGGTTTCTTCATTTAAGGAATGCCATCTGCAGGAACCCATATCGCAGCACCTATCTTATGGAATAAGGTTTATTGGAGATCTGAATACCATCTCCTCACCGTCCTGATTATTCCTAAGGGGCCTAAAGACCCAGCTCTTTAGTGGGGATAACTGACATCTCTTAATTTAGGTCATTCTCTTTCATTTCTTCCCTGTTTGTTATTCTGTCATCTCTTTATCTTTTTTCCCCCTTCCCTTGTCTTTATTATTTTTTATGTTTAAATCATTGGTAAATTACCCAGCATTGGCTGGAAGTTGGATGGCTTATACATTTAAATAATAATAAATACATAAATATTAGATATGGAAATGGAATAATTATAGGATAAACCTGCCATGATGGTCCCAGGGGTTATCGATACCTTGGCTGCCATACCAAAAATCCTGGATGGCACCTAGAAAATATGCACAGTAACAAAATTTCCATCTGCCAATTACAAAAAGTCACACTGCTTGGATCTGCAGCTTGGATCTCCAGCTATATTAGGACATCCTATGTTCTTGAGAACAATGCACACGAAGCCTAACACCAGCCAAAAATGGCAACTGTGATTTCACATTGTGTATATACATGATAGTGATAATGATGTCCTTTTCCATCACTATTTCCCAACTATAGTTCAGAAGCTTCTAAACAACCATCAATATCGGTAATCACTGATAACCTAATCTCTGGAGCTCATTTTTAAATGAGCTTCTATTACTATAATTACTGGCAGCAATTTCTCCAATTTCAGAATTGAACAAAAATCTTTCTGTAGGTCTTTAATCTCTCTACATTTAATTTCAATGAATAACATTGAATTTTAATATTATGACCCATGGTAAAAAGCTTCTATTTATATGATCTATGTCACTGGGTGCATTTAGGAAACCTCATCCTCTTTTCATTTTGGTCTTGCACACTTTTATACTGTACATTCCAAAAGACCAATTGCATTTTTTAATCAGAAAAAATGATTGCCCATTTTTTTTCAGTTCCAAAATGTCTCCATGCAACATCTGTATAAACTGTACTAGTTTTGCTTACTATTCTCTCCCACTCTTTTGATTTATATCACAGCGGGCTCCAACCGCAGACCGTTAAGGGGGAGGGGATGGTTCTGCACAAGCGGGAGGCCAGCGTACACCGCTCCATTTTCACAAGTGGTGGGCATGCACGGCCCCCCACTTGCACAACTGGAGCAATGTGCATTCTCCCGCTGTGCATGCAAGAAGAGCTGTGCAGATATAGTGCTTTCACATCCCAGTTCTGAACTGGCCATGGCCCGATTGTGGGCTGCAGCCTGGAGGGGGGGGGGATTTGTGGACCCGTTATATCAACATTTCCTGGTGTTAAAATAAAACAATATACATTCAATGGAAATTACAGTATATCTTAAGTCTAGAATTCTAAGCTCTTTCTAGCTAAAGTTGTGGGCATGTTTATTCTGCTAAAGTTTATTCTGGACTTTAACCATATACAATTACAGTACTTACCTAACATTCACTGCTACTTTCTTTTGTAATTAGAGTTAAATATCAAATGTTCACTATTTCTACTAAACAATTATCCTAAGGAGTTTTTACACTACTTAACTCTTAGCCTACATGATGTAGCCCCATCAGTTTAATGTGGCCATTTAAGATCATCATAAAGGATAATGTCCACTTATACTATTATGTGTAGGGGAGAGGGTCATATCATTAGTGACGTATATCTTTGTGCCTACCTTTCCCCTCAAAGTTAGCAGGGGGGAAAGCTACACAGGAGTGTTGGTTAGACTATTCTGTATCTGAGCTGAGCTTCTGAGAACGACAGGACAGATCACAGCAATAAGAGAGGCATGCCTGGTAACTTACCCCTCCTGATAATTTTATCACCCTGACTTTGGTGCCAATGTGGGGCCCATCGCCACTCCCACTGTTTGCCCGCTGCATGACAGTTCTTTTCATCCCAGGCTTCACCTCTGGAGGCTGGCCTTGCACCAATGCCACCCGGCTAATCTGGGGCAGGTTCGCCTGTGCAGCAGCAGGAGATTTTGCTTGCAAAGCTTTAAAGGGTGTCTGGAGCTCATTTTCAGGCACTGTCCTAGCCTGCCGTAGTTGCTTTATGGTTTTTATTTGCTGTCCTTGAAGTTGTGCACCATCTCCAGCCTGGAGAACATTTGCAGGCTTAGGTAAAGCAGTCGGGGAACCTGGAATGACCAGCTCTTGTTTTTTAACCATTAGTCTATATTTCACATTTTGGCGGGGCTGTGCACCAGGAAGAGAAAGCAATGGGTTTCCATTGGTAGGCAGCTGTGAAGGGTCTTCTTCTTGCTGTTGGCCTACACAGCCTTGCTGTTGCTGCTGCTGGGCCAGCCTTTCCAGCAGTTCTTTTTTTCGGGCCCCAGCTTGAAGCTGCCGCCTGAGCTCTTTTTGTTTCAAGATCTCTTCTCTAAGGCGTTTCTGTTCCTCAATCTTCAAACGGTACTGTCTGGTTTCTTCATCTTCATCGGGAAACTGCAGGATAGCCACAAAATAAAGTTATGCATGGTTAAAAAAAAATAACCCAACTTTGCTTCTTTCCCCTCCCCCTCTCAAAAATGGTGGACATTTGTTAAAATGATGGCACGCTTTCCCAGCAGCATTCTTAAATTAACTGAAATGCTCTGTCTTTAATGACAAAGCTGCTAACAAAGGCTTATGAGCAATTAATCAAACAAGCAACAGAGGAGGCAAAAAAAATACATATATACTACTCTACTTTGGATTTTTTAAATACAGTAAATCAGAAAGCTGAAACTGAAGCCTTCTAAATCGGAACTCATTTAGAAGTTGCTGAAACTAATTAAACTATTAATATAATTCAAGAACTCAAATATTGTTTCAAATGGGAGCAGTAACAATAAGAGGCAGCCCACTGTGTCACACAGGTTTTATCTTGCTCTTTTCTGACAAACTAACAAAAGGTAGGATGGTAAATGACCTGAAAGGCCCTGATTAGAACTATTGATTTTTCTTACAGAATTTTCAGCCTGATCTGAAACTCATTTGTCACACAATAATTGGTTATAATGAACAGCGCAAGTCAATCTCTCTGACCTTGAACTCATGCACTCTCTTCAGAATTAAAATGTTGCCAAACGCAATGTTGGAATATTAATGGAATATCAGGAATGGCTTTAATATTCCAGCCTTAAGCTTTTTAGCAAGTATTGCAGCCTTTGTGTGTCAAATAATCTTTTCAGTAGTCTTAAAACTCCAGCAGGGTATATACCCTTATTCAAAGCTACAGGGAAATTAACAGCAAAAGAAAATTCTTTTTGTTGTTTTTTTAATTTGCAGCTTCAACATACTTTAATGTGAATTGCTGCTTTTCAAACGTTAACAGCAGCCTTTACTCCTACAGAAAGCTACAAACCATCTATAATGTACAATAAATTTACTATTCTTTGATAATAAATTTAGCTGCTTAGATTTATTATCTAAATAACATATCCAATGCAGAATATTGAGGATACAAATATTGTTAAGAAAATTATGTGTTCTGAAAGCAGTTAAAAGGAAATAGAAAAAAAACCTAAGAAGAAAGAGATACCATAATATTAATAGAATTAATGTAATAATTACTAACAGAAATAGAGACTATTCTTTCCTAGCTTGTGTAAAAATCTTAAAAGTTCACTGGTTACTAGAAATAATCCTTAATTTTGTGTAGTTACCTTTCAAAGTTACAATACCTCCGAGCACTTACAACCACTGCAGTATCTCCATGGTCACATGATCAAAATTCGGGCACTTGGCAACTGGCATGTATTTACAAAGGCTGCAACATCCTGGGGTCACGTGATTGACATTTGCAGCCTTCCTAGCCATCTTCTGGCAAATAAAATCAATGGGGGGAACCTGGATTCACTTAACAACTGTCAGATTCACTTACCAACTACAGTGATTTGCTTAGCAACCGTGGCAAAAAAGATCATATAACTGGGTGCAACTCATTTAACAACTGCTCTGCTTAACAACAGAAATTCTAGTGCCAACTGTGGCCATGAGTCAAAGACTGCCTATACCAAATTCTCCCACCCTGCATATTCTTAATCATTCTAACCATTTCTCTTGCCTACTTGGGAAACTGTTTTAGAATAAATAAAAAGGTAAGCACGCTGAGCAGAAATTCGAATTTGAAAGGTTCTACTCTTTACTGGAGTGCCCTGATGGCTCAGCGGTTAAGATGCTGCGCTTGTCAGGTGGGAAGCCAACAGCCTGGGCTCAAGACCCAAGCGCTGCATGCTGCTTCAAATCCTGCCAACTTAGCATTTGCATGCTTAGTTCGAAAGCATGCAAATGCAAATAGATAGATACTGCTTTGCCAGGAAAGGTTACTGTGTTCTGTATTATCAAGCTGGCCACATGATGACGGAAGCATCTCTCAGACAATGCAGGCTTCCTTGGCTGAGAATCGGGAGGTGAATACCATCCCTTTGAGTGTGGCCATGATGTTGTGGTTCGCCGGCATCTAGTGCAGATGGCAGCGGTATCAGACAATGAGGAAGAAAGGGGACCAGTCAGGGAGTCTGGAGAGGACTTGGACGAGGGTCCTGCGTCCAATGCAGGGATGGGGCCAGGAACATCTGGGAGTGGGGTGCTGTTTTCAGAGCCTTCGGAGTCTGGCAGCAGCGAAGCAGAGGACCCAGGGGAGCCTGTTCCCAGTGTGCGTGTGCACAGAGCTCCTGGAAGGCAAGAACAGCTGAAAGAGAAGGGGCAACTCGAGAGTAAGGCTGGAGGTGATTGCCCCTTCCATAAGGGAAAAATGTCAGACCTCAATGACCAAATCTTTGCAGGAAGCAAAGTAGTTCGATAGATTCTGAATCCTCCTTGAAGCTCTGTGTACTCTGGTTGGTTTTTTCTGGTACTTCGATTGATTTCTGTTATAATTAATTGGATATTTCTGTTTTTGGCAACATTCCACAGCACTGAAAAGTGTGTGCTTATCTTGGGGAACTGTTTAAGATTAGTTCTGGCTGCCCAGTGTTGCAATAAGACAGCTTTTGCTTTTAAAATAAGTTTGTGTTTCATTATGTTTGACGAAGCCTGGGTCAGAACACATGACCTTTAGCTCTTTACTACATTTTCCCAAAGCACCATTCCCAGAAATTCGGAGCCCTGGGACAGTAGGTTCTGAATCTAAAGTTTGGATCTTTAGATTTGCAGCATCACATTGGCTCCAAGTATCTGATCCAAATAACGTGAAGGTGGCATTACATCCAAATTCAAAGCTTCCTATCAGCATAGGGAAAAAAAGTCTAGGGTTAAATGCTTTACTGCCAAAGATGACAATTTCCCCAAATGGATATTGTCATTACACAGCCTAAGCAAAATCTACGCAACCATTAGTCAGAAAAGATTTCAGTGGTTAACATTTATAGAAAAATGATACAGTCTTGGGATCCCTGAAATGGATCTCAGAGGCCCCACAACATTGCCATCAGATATTATATTAAATAAAACAGAACGGGGAAATGATTAAAAACACAACCTACAACAGTTCATTTAGTGACCTTTCAAAGTTAACAATGGCACTGAAAAACAGGACTTTTATAACAGTTTTTCACACTTACAACCGTTGCAATGTCCCCCTGGTCAAATGACCAAATTTCAGACACTTGGCAACTGACTCATATTTATGATGGTTGTAGTATGCCAAGATCATGTGATCACCTTTTGCGACCTTCTGACAAGCAAAGTCAACGGGAGGGCAGATTCACTTAATAACTTTATTACTAATTTAAACGCTTGCAGTGATTCATTGAATAACAATGGCAAGGTCATAAAATGGGGCAAATGTTTCACTGAGCAACATAAATTTGGGGCTCAATTGTGATCATAACTCAAGGACTACTTGTAATAACGTTAATGAAATGTTCAATAAAAGCAGATTTGCTTCTTGCTCTGGCTTCACCCACTCCCCAGCTTGCTGCTCAAAGAAAAGTGTAATAATCTAGAAAGAGGTAGCTACTTAAACGTGAGTGTCCCCTGCTTCCATCTCCCTTCTATGAATACTGAGGGAATTCTGGGAGTTGTAGTTGAAGTTGCAAAGGTTGGAAACTACTGTCCCACATGAAAGACCACTAAATAGAGGAACATCTTTCCTGCTGCAAAGATTAATCAGGAAGAAATTCTGTTCCACTCCATTATAAGCTTAAAAAAAGAAACCTCACAGAGCTAAATCTTTCAGTGCAACTACAATTTAGTGAAATATCAACAGCTGCTACTTTCTAGTATCTGCTCACTTTTATGTATTAGTAAGGAGAATGTCTGCTTTTAGGCTAAATAAATTTTATTTTCTCTGCTATGATTTTATTTAGGAACCCAAGAAACAAGGAATGGAAAGTCTCACAGAAACTGTTCTGCTACTGCATCTATCAAATTGAAATACAGGAAGTCTTTGTCTTAACAACCATTAGTTTAGGGACCGTTTGAAGTTACAACAGCACTGAAAGAAGTGACTTATGACCAGTTTTCACACTTAGGACCATTGTCGCCTAATGCCACCATCATGTGACCAAACTGCAGATGCTTGGCAAACTGGCATGAATTTACAACAGCTGCATGAACTGGTCATGCGATCACCATTTGTAACCTTCTGACAAGTGAAGTCAATAGGGGAAGCCAGATTTGCTTAACAACCACATGATTCACTTACCATCTGTGGCCAAAGGGTCATAACATGGGGGCGAAACTCACTTAACAACTGCCTTGCTTGGCCACAGAAATCTGTACTGGAAAAATCTGAGATTAGTCCAGCTTGGTTTGTGGCTGCACCTGCCCTGTGGAAAAGTACCCACCACAGATTCCGATGCCCCCAAACCTGCCTAGCCTTTTGTAGGGCTCTGAAGCCCTTTCTGCCCGTGCAGGCTTTAAGGAAGGATGAAATAATCAGATGAGCTTGGTTGCTGGAGTTGGTGATACGATTCTGGTTTACAGGTTTGTAACTGAGCCATGGATTTATATCACTTTGAGTGTTTTAATGCTTTATGCTGTTGTGATAGGACTGTACGCAACCCAGAGTCACTGCTATCTGTCCACCAAGCAGCAGATGGAAAGAATGGAGCAGCACGCCATCGGAAAAACTGGTAGGAAGGAGTTTTCCTTCACTTCCCTTTGCAATGTAACAGGGCACTTCAGGCTGCCTATTTTTAGAGATGTGCAAAACGGCATTCAGGCTTTTTATGCAGTCACAAAAGTGACCTTTCGGATTTAACAGGCATTGGGGCTTAACAAACACCTCCCTCTGTTTGAGTGGTCTGTTAAATCAAAATGTAAAGTTTCTGAACATAAAAAAGAACACATTTTGGCAGGTAATAAAACTGGGGCATGAATATAGAAGAGTACTGAAATGTAAATATCCTTTGGTCAAAACCGCTGTTGAAACGAAGATGGGTACCCAAGCCACCTAGGCCGCTGCTAGAGGGAGGCCCTTACCTCTGGTTCGGATTTGTCCTCCACTTTAGGCTGAGTCGCGGGAGTAACTGTTTTAGGCTGAGTCGCGGGAGTAACTGTTTTAGGCTTGGACTCAATCTTTCCTGTTTGGTTCTTGATAGCTGTAAGAGGTTTCAGAGCAACTGTAGTGCTAGAAACCGGTTTCGCTTGAACAGGGGAAGCTGAAGCTTGAACAGAAGAAGATGAAGTTTGAACAGGGGAAGCTGAAGCTTGAACAGAAGAAGATGAAGCTTGAACAGAAGTTCGTCGGTTGTTGTTAGCAGTCTCCATCGAATGCAAAGGTGCTATTGGCAATTCACGCAAATTACTATTCCTTGTGGAAGATGACTGGGGCTGCTGGTTTGGACGTTTTACAATGCTTTGTGTTGATGTGTTCTAAAACAAACAAAAAAAATCTTATCCTGTAAAAATGTAAAGGTCTCACCTTCTAACCAAGTCAAATTTCAGGGTTCTTCAATGGAGAAGAACTGAAAAACAGGTGATATAACCTTCTCCCTCTAGTAAGGAAAGCTGAGAGGTCCATTTGGCTAGATTCCTATGAAACAAAGCTCTCCCAGACTCCTCCTACTCTGAGATTAACTAGCCAAAAGGACTTTGCTAGAGGCATTTCATATAAAGGTCTGTCTGGAGGAAGGAAAAGACTGCCCTGCTCCAAGTAATATGGAACAAGAAGCTTCTAGAACTCAGGAAACAATCAATGTATGTAGAGTTCCAGGATCTGTTCTAAGTAACCAGTCGGATTGGGTTTCACGTTTTGATTTTAGTTTCGGTGTGTCCGAATCCTAGTCTTGTTAGTCTCACAACTCTACAGGTAGCCCTCGACTTACAACAGTTTGTTTAGTGACTATTCAAAGTTAGAATGGAACTGAAAAAAGTGACTTATGATTGTTTTCCACACTTACAACCATTGCAGCATCTTCTTGGTCACATAATCAAAATTCAATCACTTAGCAATTGGTTCCCATTTATGACAGTGTCCTGAGGTCATGTTGTGTCCTTTTTCCACCTTCTGACAAGCAAAGTCAATGGGGAACCCAGATTCACTCAGCGACCATGCTACTAATTGAACAACTGCAGTGATTCACTTGGCAAATGTGACAAGAAAGGTCATTAACATGGGGCAAAATTCATTCGACAACTGTCTCGCTTAGCAACATAAATTGTGGGGTCAGTTGTGGTTGTAAGTCGAGGACTACCTGTAACTCCAATAAGCTCAGTCTTCCTTTCAGATGAGCTTACCTTACTATTACTTTGTTAATACACACTATTACTTTCTGAAGCTCAACTTTGCTTCTCTTTGCTAACCAGGTGTAAATATTTGGTTGCCAGTTTGTATCTTGGGAATTATAATGTGGTATGACCTGTTCAGACGGACTAACAGCTTTGTAAGCTGCTGGTTTAAAACTGCCTCTGCATTTTATTTTATTATTAGAAAGAAAAGTACATTTTCTTTCTTTCAGCCTTATTCATGGCTCCCCGAGGGATGAGGCTATAATAAATACCAGTGAAAGCAACCCTAGCTACTTTCATTCCAGGCTATCCATAGTTGGGTGGCACAGGCCCAGTGATGGGATAAACGAGAAACTCCTTACTCCTCCTTATACTGAGCTCATATTCCATGGTAACGGCAGACAATCTATAGCCCTTTATAAACTACTGTGTTTCCCGGAAAATAAGACCAGGTCTTCTATTAATTTTTGCTCCGAAAGACGCATTAGGATTATTTTCCAGTTAGGTCTTATTTTTGAGGAAATGCGGTACTACCTGTGTCCGTCTGACTGACAATTTGAACTGGGGCTTATTTTGGGGGTACGGCTTATATTACAAGCATCCTGAAAAAACATGCTAGGGCTTATTTTCTGGTGGGGTCGTTTTTCTGGAAAACACGGTACTTATACCAGCTCCTGGCACCTTACACTTGGGAGTCCAACCAACTCAGACAAGTGCTTACCTATATGGTGATAGCTTGACTCCACACTATACCAATCTAGTATGTCAACAGATGAGTGAATGGAGTCATAATAAAGTATACTTCACGGGGGATGTAGAAGGGGGTGTGGAATGAGAGGAGAAAGGAAAACAGATGGGATGCAATTACCTCCAGAGCACTTTCTAGTGGTTAAGAGAGAGGACTCAATGGGCCAATGGGCCTTCTTGGTTCAAACCTCTACTGTTCTACAGGGATAACTGGACAACCCTTTCAGCCTAATGTTGAGTAAAATAATTTCTCTCGTACCACTATAATTTGCATACTGCGTACAGTCTGGATATCTGAGAGATCACTTATTTCCAATAGTTTTTGCCCATCCAGTGGACAAAAGTGGGAACTCTCCAGGTTTCCTCTATTAAATCTTGTCATTGTGTGGGACTAAAAAAAACATACCTTCTCTACTGTGTCCCCCATCTTCTAGAACAGCGTCTCCCCCAAAGATAAGGATAGTCTCCTCTCCTAGGCTTCTAGAAAGCTTTGAAAATCTGGGTTTGTTCTCAGATCCAAGATTAATGTTTATGATTTGTCTAAGGCCCCTGTTTTGTTTGACTGTTTATTCATTTATTTTAGCCTGGGCTGCCCATGTAACGTGATGTCTTTTTTAGTATTTTTATTGGGATTTTTTCCCTACATCCATATAAATTAAAGCTGGGTGGCCAATAAATTTAAATAAATGAATAAAACTAGTGACCAGCCCCTGCTCCCACAAACTCCCAGAAGAAAGGCTGGATATCAACGTTCCAAATAAAAATGTCAAATAAGAGATTCCAGCCACCTACCATCTTTTTGGGGGTAGAAATGATAAATACAGACACAGGGAGTGGTCAGGGGCAATTAGCAGGGGTGGTAAGAACTCACACCTTTTTCCAAGGTGGCTGTTCAGGTCTTGCCCCCTGCCCAATGAGAGCCTGCGTGTGTGTTTTTTCTATATGGAAAGGACACTTACATGCCTGGCCTTTACCAGACTTTGCCGTTGCTGGTATGGCATCCGGTTACTGCTTGGCTGTGAAGTCTGTAGGCGTGGCCTGAACTGGGATGGGGCCACCGGAATCAGAGGCTGGGGAGGCACAGGCAGCAGGTGCTGCTGCTGCTGGTTGGACTGGTGCGGCTGATGGTGAGGCTGGGATGGTTGGGACGGCTGTGGATGCTGTGGTGGTGGCTGTGGCTGCAAAGGAGGGTGCAAAGGGCCCTGTACATTTGAAAACATGGCAGGTATGAGGTCACATTTGCTGCCTGATTGCTAAGCAATACACAATCATCACTTAACAAGGAAACAACTCTTAACAGAAACTAAGATTTTTCAGAAATTGGGAGTTGAAGACAATAAGGCGCCAGTAGAAAAGTGCCATCTGACTGAGACTTTTTAAATAAAAAATGATTTTTCCTAAAATTAGACAGCAGCAGAAGCTGCATAATCCAGGGGGAAAAAAGACACTACAGATAGTCCTTGACTTACAACCATTTCTTTAGCGACCATTTGAAGTTACAAAGGCACTGGAGGAAAAAGTGACTTATGATTATTTCCCACACTTACAACCGTCACAGCATCTCCACGGTCCTATGATCAGAATTCAGGTGCTTGGCAACCGGCATGTGTTTATGACAGTTGCAACATCCTGGGATCAATGTGATTGCCATCTGTGACCTTCCCAGCCGGCTTCTGACAAGTGAAGTCAATGGAGGAAGCTGAATCAGCTTAACGACTGCATGATTCATGTAAAATCTACAGTAATACACTTAACAACTGTGGCAAAAACAGCTGCAATATCAAGCATGACTCACTTAACAACTGCCTTGCTGGGCAATGAGAAGTTTGGCCCCGTTTGTGGTTGTAAGTCGAGGACTACAACCCATTCTCTATAGGACCCAAAGACAGGAGAAATGGGAACCTATCAGGGAGGGATCCAACCTAGAACTAAGGTGAGAACAGTGAACAGAGAACCCTGACAGTGAGAACAATCAGCGGGATGGATTACGTCCAGAAGTTATGGATGTCCCATCCCTGGAGATTTTAAAGAAGAGGCTGGACAGCCATTCATCTGAAATGGTATAGAAAGAGTTTCCTGCCTGAGCACGGGGTTGGACTAGAAGACCTCCAAGGTCCCTTCCAATTTTGTTACTCCCTCATACTGACTATCTGCATTATCTGCTTTAAAATTTGAATCTCTGTTTACTCAGACCAACTTAGTGCCATGGTGCAATTAAGGTACCACCCAATTCTAATCTGATGAATTCAGATTAATCTAAGGACTCTCCTGAATTATACTGGAGCTCTTCCTTTTCTGGGATGAAGGTGAAGATCACAGCTAGATTCTGAACCTTTTCCATTTTAATAAAACACATTTTTTTTAAAAAAAAAATCTTCAGCGTTGTTTGTTATCTGAACTCTCCTGGAATAAAATGAAGCACCAGCAGAGGGAGCTCTAAGTCTTGTAGTGTTCCAGATTTGATGTTTTTAAATGCCTGCTTAATAGACATACTACAGAAACTTATTTTCAGGAAACAGACTTCGGTATCTTTTCTGGAGTAAATCAATTTTAGGAAATCATGGAATGTGTAACAACGTCATATTACAAACTTCTCCAATCCCACTAGCTCTGTGAACAGCTTCACAAAAATCAACTTTTTAAAATATCTTCCCTTTGAAGCATTCACATGATATAGTTGCAGTTAGCCCTTATAATACAATTAGTGCTGGCCATCAGTGGTGGCGGCGGTAGGGAGAGTAATGCTGTCATGCTTGGCAAAGCAATACAAAGGCAGGTTTAAATTGCTTTGAACATTAAGTATTTAAGCTCTGTTTATAAGGAACCTTCTCTCAGCAATGTATGGTCTGAATTAAGACTAAATGTAGTAACCTATAATAGCTTCCACCCACCCCTAGAAAAAATAGGTCACTCCAGATAGGCTTGGACTACAACTCCCAGAATCTATCTGATAAGCCCAATTATGCTACGCAGATCAATATCTACAAATTACTTTACCCTTAGCCTGAAATATGAAAGAAGTGACTGTACAGTAAAAACTGGCTATATTCTCTCCAAGTACCACACATGAGAGTTGCCATCCTTTTCTTTATGTGACTGCAGATAGCAGGTCTATATAATTCTCTAAAGCAGGGGTCTCAAAGCTGGCTGAGGAATTCTGGGAGTTGAAGTCTTAAAAGTTGCCATGGTTGGAGACCCTTGCTCTAAAGTCATATGCCTGCAAAAAGAGAAGAAAGGAACAATAGGGAAGGATGGAGGACTTACAACGGAAAGTTCAGGTTACAATGGTGGTGGTGATGAGACTCAACAGAGGTGAGAAAGGGTTTTTCCTGCTCATTACATACCTGCATGCCGGCTTGGGTGAGGGGGTTTAGGAACGGCTGTCCTGGGAGCTGCAGGAAGGACTGCCGTGGGGGAAGGAAAGGCCGTGCGTTGGCTGCTCCAGGCTGGCTGAAGTGAAGGAGTCCCACCGGGCCCTGAGGCTGCAAACTTGGCCTTACTAGCCTTTCTCTCGGAAACTGCTGGCTAAAACCAGGTCCAGGCTGACTGAATGGGAGCTGATTTTGACTAGGCACAGAGTGTGTGCTGTTAAGAAGAGGGGGCGGTGGTGGTGGAGGGCTCCGCTGTTCAAACAAGTGATGGCCGGGAAATCTCGGCTCTGTGATAAAAAAAAAAAGGAGATAGCATGAAACCAACACATCTGCCAAGCAAAATACCAGTTTTTGGCCCAACCCCACTGGAAATAAAAGTCTCACAGAGAATTGCCAAGATTATGGCCAACAATTTCTTCCATTAGCCTAGTATACTCTACTCCAACTGGAAGTCAACCAACGGTGTAGACAAATCACCCTGTAGTTAGTGCATCACTTCCTGAAAATTTTCTGCGGTTAAATATGCATCAACAAGGTAAAAATTGTATAGGAAAAAGGTCCGGGCTACTAATCACGCTGCTTCAAGAATATGTGTATAACTGCTAAATACTGGACTCCAGAACGAAGGAATAACGGGACAATTTTGAGATTGGCCAAATGACAAGATGGGGAAGATTTTGGCTTCATAGTTCAGGTCCAGTCCTACCCATGAGAAAAATGTGTCTTCCCACGGGGCTAAACAATGGCCATACCTCCCAGGAAGAAAGATTCTCTCTCTTGTGGAGGTGGGGGCGGAAGAGGGGGTGGAGGTCCACGCCACTGGTCTTGGAGAGAAAGTCGTGGGGTTTGGTTGAAATTGCCAGGAACAGGTCCAGGAGTGTTTTGTTGAAAATCTGGAGGGCCCTGCATGATTAAAAAGAGAGAGATGAAAGAGAAAGAAGGCGTAATTCCTCTTGTAAGATTTCTTCACTTTTAGGTAATAGATACATATCTATTCTATAACCTGCACAACTTGCTGTCTTTGCAAGTTTCCATCTTTTGTGGTGCCTGTGAACACAAAATCTAAAGACAACATGTTTACAGGAAACTCAAAATGTTTTAATAATCACAACAGCCCTGTAGGAATGCCATTCCTTTTCAAGCTTACTGAAATCCATTCAGTTATTGAACTTCTATCTCATTAATCCAACAGTCTGAATGTCTACTTTATGCTCCCGACACTTAATCTTTTAAAACCATGATATCCTTTGCTATCTGTTTAATACAGCCTAAGCAACTAAAAATGAAGCTAGTTTAATTTTCTTGTGTCAAACAATGATTCCTGACCCTCTTCATACACACATGCACACCCATATATGTGCTCTGAAGTAAAAAAAAAAAAAAATCAAGAATAAGGAAGAGAACATTTGACACCTACATTATCCTAAATACTTAAGCAGCTGAGACATTTATTATAAAAAAGATACGGAAAAGTAATATAGACATCCTACTCTTCATTTTAAATAAATGGGTTACAGATAGATATTTAGCTATTACATCATCAGCAAGGGAAGAAACTATTTAAAATTTAAGCTCCGTAATTGATTTTTCTCCTCAGTACCAACACGATTACAGAATATACTTAAAAAGGCAGAAGCTTTTTGGCTTCCGGTTTTGCGCGGCTTCGGTAGCGGCAGGAATTCGCGCCTCTGCGATCCCTGCCGCGTTCGCTGCCAAGGTGCCCCCGATCTAAATAGGTCTGGGGGCTATGGCTGCCTTGTAGAGGCAGCCGAAGAGAGAGGGGATCCGGACAGAGGTTTGGGGGTAACGCAGACCCCCTTTCCAGCCGGAATAACCCCTTTTTCCTGAGGTGGTGGAGCGGCGGTCAGTAATGGCCGCCTCAAAGAAGCCAGCAGCCGGGTAAGATTTGTGCTGGAGGAAGAGGGAAGAGCTGTGGAAGTTGCTTCTGACTGGGATAAAGTTAAGAGAGAGAGTTCCTGTAACCTCGAAGGTTGCTAAGGATACTTTGTTTCTAGAAAGAGATACAAGCAGCGAACATTTCAAAAGAGTAAGCTTTTTTTTTCTTGCCTTTCACTCTCCTCCCTAACGTGACAGCAGTGGAACCATAAGAGAAATCCGGGAATCTGTTCTGGAGGTAAATGAATATTGAAGGAGCAAGGATTTCTGAATATTCAAAGGGGGGGGGGGGGGG